GACATGTCTAATCTTTTGATTAAGCTGCATCTTCTGGCACAAGTCGCATATTTAAGGTACGTCAGGTTGTTGAGCTATGTTGTCGCTCGTGAGCCTCTACACAGTCCAAAAACAACGCAATTTCTGAACACTCAGTGCCAAGAAATCCTTCACAGAAAGATGACACTTGGCGGAAAGAATGGCTGTCGGTTTCTTCCCGTTCGTATGTATCGTGTTTTCACAAGAGTTTAGTAAGAGTCCCTCACGTCACCTCCCCTCATAACTCAATAGGACTAGGTGTACTATCATAGAAGCGTTGATCAATCGCCGCAAATCTTAGCCAATCCCACTGGACACTGGATCCATACCCACATGGGGCCCTCCTGACTGGCCACTCTCTCTCTGAAATCCACAATAACATTGGGCTGCGGCCATGGTTATGTATTAATGCTTTTCACTAACAGAAATACAACAACTTCAACCAGCACAATGCACGCCGCCACAACAGTCCGACCAACGTCCCTGATATCGACTAGCACTCGGCCGGATGCACATATGCGGAGCCAATCAGTCCGAATGTGACCTGCAGCTTACAATTGCTGTGTCGCATGGCGCATGGCACAGGACGATTCCTAGCAGCTGTCGGCTGGAGTGGAGAAACAGCACGTTGCGCCACACCGCGCCGGCGACAGAGCTCAGCAGGGCTGGTTGGAGGCTGGAGCTGGAGGTAAGGGCGGACACAGGCACAGACATTGCAGGACAAATAACAGGATGTCAGTTAGGGATATAATTCAAGACGAATGATTCAAGACGGACTGAAATAATGTACATTTTGCTCACTTGGATACCAACTTCAAACTCGACGTTTATAGCACCACGGAAACAATGGCCACACAGGAAAGAAACAAAAGATGAGGTGTTTTTAACTCAAAGTAAATAGAGGTTGCATATGATGGAAGAGCCCAAAGTGCAGACAAGCACATATTCTTGGTAATATCAGCTGTCCTACTCCTCTTCTCCCTTCATCAACTACTGGACACATCTGAGGAAGCACGAATGTCCATAACAAAAGCTTGCAAAGTAGTTTTATGAAGCCAAGGGAAATATGCCTACATCATGCATGTAAACTCAAAATTACACATGCATGACAAAGGAAGCTTATGCAAAGAGAAGAGTTGGCAAAAGCATTCCATAGTTAAAATCATTCAAAACTGCACACAGGGCAATCATAAAAAGCAGCAAGTGTGCTGTTCTGTTATGCTAAGAAATAGTCCAAAACAAAATACATCTTTTCATGTTTGAACTGGTTGTTCTTCTATGCCACTTCATCCATAGCTTGATTACAGATGGGCTGATGCTGTAGGCTGATGAAGTGACACTTGATTGCCTTTGTGCGAGTTTCAGTTGCAGCCTCCTGGGTACTGCACTGGAAAGCAGATTGAATTGAATGCCTCTGAAAGATAGGAATACAGGCAAAGTTAGCTGTAGTAGTGTCAATGATAATAGACATGACATTTTTGCCCTTTGACATACATTTGTTGAAGTACAAAAAGGTACAAAATAAATTGGTTTGTTTCAAGACACCACACTGCACAAAGCCGCACAGACATTACACAGGGATATGAAATTGGTACACATAAAACTTGATGATTAAAAAGGTCAAAACTTGCAATAATAATTGAAGTAAAAGTTACAATCACAATCATTTGATTTAAAATGACTTGACATAAGTCACAAGACGCAACGCTCCTATTCACTTAAGAAAGGTTTTTATGCTTTCATTATCCTTCACATATCAACCAGCTTGATACTAGGCTGTGCAATAGTGTGTACATAACCCCATGTTGCCATTTTATTCGAGCAAGTGGGGTTTAAACAACAATGCTTGTCAAACCCACATCTGCAACCCGTACTGCAGTTTCAATCACCTTACAAGCACACCTTCTGGCAGTTTGATAGGCAGAATGGTCATTACTACTTTCTTCTCATATTCAACACATATTTCCTTTATACAGATATAGTTTAGACCTGGTTATGGCAAGCATTTTCGAGAAAAGATATGATTACAGTCCAAGACAAAGGTCGAGAGAAACAACACCAACATAAAACACCGACTATGTAGCACTAATACTGTCAAATTCATAAAAATATATACATGAGTCGATCAGAAATTCACTGTAGATTTCGAAAATGGTGTCAAATGCCACTCAAATACCCCCCTTCGCATGAACGAAGCAATAAAACACTGACCTTCAATCCCGCGTGCCATTCTCCATAGGCCACTGTGTATTAAATAACGCGTTCACTGATAGCAAAAAATGAGACCCACATATGACGCGTTTGCTACCAGCCAATCAGCGCTCGAGATGCCGAACGCTGATTGGTGGAGAGGGCCATCGTTAGCAGTCCATTACACGTTGTTTTCCTTAAACATGTGCGTGAGCGCTGATGCTGCTCACGGGTTGTTGCCATTTTTCGTAATGCTGAAGGCACGGGAGCGAACCCCCCTGCCGTGACTCGACTGCTGAGCTCAAATGCAAATTGCAATCACGGTCATACAATACTGAATATTGAATCGCAATGTATATTCAGTCAATGTACCCCTCGTTCGATGTCTCCCAGACGACGAAGATTGTACGTCGTCCGGCCAATCCTGTTCTAGATCAACGGGGGCTCGGCTGCAATTATGGAATGTGATTGGCCAAATGGCGTAGAATCTTTGTCGTCCGAAAAACATCGAACAAGAGTAATGTCGCTACTGCGCCATTGTTGCATCGAATTCGCCCCATAGAAGCACGTGTTAACTCTCTCCCATAGGGCCCTGGGTAAACTCTCTCCATAGGGTCCTGGGTAAACTCTCCCCTTGTCTATTTTCTTTAAACGGAGATAGTTTGGACAACAAAATATTTTCGACCTCATAAAAAATAAAACTTAATTTTTGATGTACCTCATTGATGCAAAACATCAGAAAAACATTAGAAATTAAGTCAAAGAAACCGATTGTTTATAAATGGACAGCTGACGGCATGCCTCCCGTGTCCCCTGGCTTGAAGCTTCGGCTCCGTGTTACCTTAGTATTCTATGACCGTGGGGCGATCTAACACATTTCACAAATCATACATTTTTTGAATGCATTCGAAAAATATTACAAAGTATTAAACAGTTTATCAAAAACATCTCCCCGAAGGGAAATTCGGCGATCGATCGATAGAGTTTCTTCATGTCGTTTTCTTTTTAACTCGTTCTGCTATGCTCGTATGTAACTTGAAAAATCCTTGTGATACGTTCGTGACTTCTTCAGTTCGGATGTATGCCGCCTCAATCAGCCACCTCTCGGTTTTCTTTAGGTCACTGTGTAGGGCTTCGGCACCATTCCAGTTCGGTAAATGTCCCTCTTTATCAGCGTGCATCACGATAGCCTTCGTCTCCCTGTGGTTGCGTAAATCGTTCCTATGTTCCCGAATTCTAGTTTTAAGACCCCTCCCCGTTTCACCATAATACGCCTTATCACATTTGCTACACGGAATTTTGTATACTATGCTGTCTTCGTTTGATGTCTTGATTTTCTTTTTCTTTAGCATTTGTCCTATCTTCTTGCCCCCTGATGTGACCATCCTGATTTCTGGAGACAGTTGCTGACTGACACTGTCTACCTGTTTGCTGTGAGGAACAACGAGCATTGTTCTTGTTTCATCTTTCTTCTCTTCGTTTGTCTCATTCTCATCTTTCCGTCTATCTGCCCTCTTCTTTATCTCCCACGCTTTGCGTTTTGAAATGTGTTAGATCGCCCATGACTAAGCAAATATAAGCGAAACGTCGGGTAGCTTATCTTTAATTTCATTTAGTTTAATGTAATATTTCGCATTAAAGTAAATATGGCCTTTCGTACACTTTATTAACAATTGTTCCCGTAAAATATTTTGAATATTGACCTAAAAAAATGAGTAATTTCCAGATAAAATAACAGCGAAATCAGTTTTCGCTTGCCAATAAAACTCACAGACATTGAAGCTCCATTATTAAAGGAACATTTTAGTATATGCCATTCTTTATAAAACTTCTTAGCCACGCAATACCAGCGCAAAATAAAGAGACACTGAAAACACGACCAATCACTCCGATTTACCATAGGAAAATACATAGACAATGTATGTCTCAACTGCGCCAAATATACAGACAGTTATATACCTACATGTGACGTCATGATTAGCCCGACCAATCAGAAGCAAGTTGTTTTCAGCCACAAATAATTAATTTCTGAACTAACTAGACATTTTTTTAACAAAGTGATTTTAAATTAAATCATTAAAAATTCTGAGCTTTTTTATTTTACCAAAACATACAGAGCATGCAGATAGGTCCCAACCCTATTGCTTAAAAAAGATACGACAAAAACAAGCTTCACAAATGAATTGCAATTCCACCAAATGTCTCCAATTCCGTCGTATTCTGCCGCACCATGCTGGGCTGTTCGGACAAAGGTCAGACATTGTGTAGATCAGAAGACACGCTCCAGCATGACAGGGGAGGGAGCGCCGACCCTGTCCGGCCGCAGCTGATATCGGCGGCTCCGGCCCGGGGCGGCGCGGCGAGCTCTAACGCTGCACTGAAAGGGATGCGTGGCTTCAGTCTGTAGGATGACGTTATTAATTATCTATATTAATGCCTGATAATCCTCAGGCTGTGTTGTATTAAGCTTGAGTTTTTCATTGATAGTCTGAGTTTGACATTGGGCGATATATGGCGATTCCGTTCATTCATCAGGTTGTCAATAGTGTGCGTTTGACTTCCACGGCTTTCGAAATTCCCAATAAAAGGTCAAAACAAGCTTCGCCATAAGAATTCAAATATTAAGCCAAAGGGCACATCAAACTTAACAGCTTAGATTAAATATCCCTCTAAGGGCATTGAAGATAAATTGTCAAAGGTAAGCCCTCAAACCAGGACGGTAATTGGCTAGAACGTTTGAGATGACAGACAACTTTCATGCTGGTCCAGACAAAAGGCACAGGAGCACGCACCTCCAGCTTCATCTCGGCGAGTTGGATGAACTCCTCGTAGCTGCGACTGCGCTCGGCCAGCGGGTCACGCGGAGTCACCAGCCCGCGCAGGATCCCCCGCGACTCGGCGTCCAGCTCGTGCGACTCCCCAGACGAGTTGCGCTTGTAGCGAGGACTCAGCGGCGACCGCGAGCCTGAGTTACAGGCGAGAGGTCAGAACGGGACCCGGGTTAGTGATCAGATCGAGACTCAGGTCAGAAGTCAGACAAAGAGCGATGGTTAGACATGTGAGACCAATGACGACACTGGGGTAGAAAACGAAGTTTAAGAAGTAGCGAAGTGTGGCCACTGGCCATTATATTTAGTTCATTCCGTGTCAGAACGATTCCCTGACATGCCTGATTGGCCCCACGAACTGTACATACACAATAAATAAGGTCATTGATCTCCAACGATAGATTATGTGCAAAATACATTAAACGGCATAAATCTGTCGGAATCGGCATATGTTAACGTGTCAATGGAAGTAAGTGTGTGCTCACTACTTGCGTTAACTTAATGTCTATAGTCTGTTTTTCGTATCTTCTACCTTCACTCAAAGATGCTTTGCCCCTCCAGCACGCTTTTAGGGTATAGTTTTCAAATCTTGACCACATGGCCCACCACTCATTGCAGGAGTTTGTTGCTCGTGTTGGAGTTCGCCTTCGCTGCGCAGATAAAATCGGAAAAGAAACCTTTAAGCCAGAGTATCGCTTGTATTATCGTTACCACGGTTTATTGGTACTGACTACCGGCCTATACACAAGGACGTTTTGCTGTTCATAGGTACTGGCATTGTGCGAAGCGCTCTTGCTAAGAACATTTAAAGAATAGTTTAAAGCTTGTACTTCCTTTTCATTGGGTAAAAGAAACTAAATGTGTTATATGTTCTGCCATATTTTTTTCAAATGCTTAATTTATGTTTTGCTTTATTTACGTTGCGATAAATTTTACACCGACGAATAACGAAATTGTCTTAGCCCACGCCCGCTTGGGGGTCCCCAGGCAGATTTGCTTCATCTTATAGTTTTCCTATCTGCCTCACGCGATCATCCCGAAAAGTAAGAAAGATGCAAAGACGCGGGCAAGAATCGATAGCTCTCAACATTTACTTTCAGCAGTATACATATAGTTATATATACCGCATTTTGCTGAGGTCAATAGTGAAGGCCACTGAAGGTCATAAATTTAAAAAAAAACTCCCGAGTTCAACATGTTTGGACAAATCTGACCAAACCTTGCCAACCGATTGAACTGCAGCGCCGTCGAAACATGTTTGGTTCTAGCAGCTATTAGGTATTGTCAAAAGCTGCTGGTGATCTTTATCATCTGACATGACTTTTTGACCGCTGGCAATCACCAACGCCTTAGGGCTTATATTATGATACACAAATGCAGGTAGGTAATAACAACACACCCACGTATGCATTTTTCGTATTATATTGCGCTGAAAGCATGACGGAGTTGAACTGTGCCACCACCGTCGGTGTTTCTCCGCGCCTTCAACACTTTTCTTTCTGGACTATCCAAGGAAGAAAGTTCGTTATTCTGGCGATATTCGTTGGTTGTGCTCCTTCTTCACCGCATTATTTCAGTCACCTAACCCACATTTCTTTTGCTTTGAAACGTTGAAAGAAAACGTTACGATCATTTTGTCTTGTCTAAGACCAAGGCCATTGCCCTTCTTTCTGTTGTTTGAAAACATGATGAAATTAGAAAGGGATAATTATGCCAGAATGAAAATATGATGACACTTTTTTATGCAAATGCATTTCACTTGACAAAGAACATTGCATTTTGATTAACGAGATAGGCCAAGGGGACAGACGTTCGATCTTGCGCATCTTGCGTTCGAGATAAAAATAGACTTTGCAGCGGCGTTGATTTAATTAGATGTTCGCTGGAGCACGTGATTAGAGAGTTTACTGTATGCCTGGTCTATTCAAATACATTAGCCAGAGGGGTGTGGTAATAACTGGTGTAAGCAAATTGACCACGGTCAAAAATGCATTACCAGAATGCACTTAAGCCAACATTTTGGGATGTTCTCGTTCCTAAGTCGGCTAAGAGCTTCGGTCCAGAAAATAAATTTATCGTTGGCATCGTTGGCATACAGTAAAATACATACCAAACTCGGCCGGTGATAAATTTTCAAGACCTCAGTCCTTACTGATTTTTGAACTCGGCCTTCGGCCTCGTTCAAAAATCCAGTAAGGACCTCGGTCTTGAAAATTTATTTACACCGGCCTCGTTCAGTATTATATATTACCGTCTTTGAGTGAAGGTAGAAGATACGAAAAACAGACTATAGGTAGGTATATAACGATAAATTGCACAATGCACAAGGGCCGAAGACTAATGCACAACGAGCTTACAACATACTTGACCTTTGGTGGCGCTGGGTCATAGGGCAAAATGACACCGTCAACACTTTGTTGGTGTTGGTCATCATTGGAGTAGCATTGACGGTTATTTTTACATAAGACCTATCCAACATTTTGCGCCGCTCATACATTATTACAAATTGTGAGCAAAATTTCGGCGTTGCTTGAATCGGGACTAACTGTCCCGTTCTCCTCCCTGTTAATTACAAAAACTAAACAATAAATCTTCTAAGCGATATCCACTTCAAATTCTCATCGAACAAGAACTCTCCAGTGACCATTCTACGTATGAACCCCACATCCCAGCCACACCAATCTCTATGATCTATCCAATTCCGCCTATTCCTTTATCCTTTGTTCCTTCCTATTCCTTCCGCCTAACTTTATCCCAATTCGCCCCTCTACCCCTTTGTCTTTCTATCACTTCATCCCAGCATTCCTTGGGTTCCTAACCCTCCGTCCCAACTCCCAGCGTTTTACTCACGTCTGTGGCCCAGCGGCGCGCGGAAAAAGTCCTCGACGCTCCTGCGCAGGTCATGACCGGGCGACGACGCCACCGAAGACAGGGACAGCAGGGAGACGCGCGACGTCTTGCGCAGGCTGAGTCGCTGCAGCAGGCTGCGGGGCGGCTGGGGCGAGACGGCCGGCGACTCTCGCAGCAGGGCGTGTGAGGTGCACGGTGACGGCATGTAGCCTACAGGTGCACAGAGGGGTCCGACCGACGGCCGACGGTCAGGGGCGATATACGGAGGAGTGTGGGCTGGTGCACGTAGGGGCAGCTAGTGACGTGGGTAAGGAATTACTGAACGACATGTGAGACTGCCAACAACAGTGATAGATAGAGATACGAATGACTTGACGATACAAATAGGAAGTAACTAACGGTCGATTTGCATAGGAGCACACGGTTCGTGTTGTCCGGAAACACTATCTGCTTGGAATGAAAGCTCCCAGTGATAATGATTGTGAGATTGTCCAAGTGATCATGTCCCTTAAATTGGATCTCAGATAAGATGGATATCTGTATTATAATTTTTATCAGCTTACATTTCCTCAGCCTCAAGGCAAGGCACTTATCATGGATGCTCCGCCAAAAGACACGAATTACAGACGGCACACGCCAGACAATGTCTACTGCCATCTGGGGACATCGCTGTAAGTTGGACTGAATATGCGATGTTCTTTGTGGCCGCACTTCAGTGGAGATATTGAATAATGCATGCCCGTTATTACCCTTGCAGCTGTTCTGAAAACACTGACACACTTGTACTTACACGAGACAGTGCTGAAGAGGACAATTTTAAAGCGCAGGACAATATCGTTGTTAAAAAGCGAAAAAACATATTCTTCCCCGCGGGGTTGAAAATTGTGAACTATGTCGAAACGTGCATGCCTGATGTGGTCCGTGTTTTCAGCAGTTATTTGAAAAAATAGTAGGCATACAGTCCTCAGAAATCCGATGCATATTGCGGATTGACACGGCTAAAAGCGTGAAATACTTACCTACAAATTCACAACCACTGTGTTATTTTGTAAAAAGTCGAATAGCGCATGCTCACTAGTAAAATATCTGTGATCAACTACGATGGTTCTGTGGTCGACTACGATGGCTCTGTGGTCGGCTGCAGCCACCGTGGTCCACTAAACTCTCCGCGTGTCCGTCTGTGTGCTCTACATGTCTCTACCGACGTGACCCGGCCAGGGGGCCACTGACTCCGCCCGGTTACCTTTGGATCGGCCGTCGTGGGACGGGTTAGCGGCGCCGCACTGCGAGCCGGCCGTACCGGCGGCCGTTCCCGCTGGGTGGCACAGTGAGCGGTCATCGACAGCTCGACATCGACCTCAGGCGGCGCAGTTTGTTAGCGTTACAGTGACGCTAGTCGCTACCAATAACGGCTGTAAGCTCGGCCAGCGCACCTATAGGTACTTTTGGTCATTATATCCACGTGTCACTTCTGTTGTTACTTGTTAGTTTACTTGTTAGTATTTGTATTTAGGGCTTAATCATACTTATAATTGATTTACGAATGTATGCATTTGTTTTCAGTACCACTATTGGCATAATCGGACTGTGTTGTGAATGCGCTCATGCCAAAATGTTCTACGGCGTCATGTAGTCATGGTGTCATGGTGTCATGGTGTCATGTTAGTCATGTATGTAGGCATCCATTATTTCTTACGTGACTTTTGACCTACTCACAATTATTAAACACGAGTCTATGCCCTGCTCTTCAACAGTGAAACTAATCCTCTTTTGAAATCAATGCTTAGTATGCCAAGCACCACTAAAACAGAGAACTAATTATGCAAAGCGACCCGGGATTAGCGATAGTCTGCCGAGCACTTAATTGTTTGACATCGATCAGGCCCGAAACACATATGTACGATTCATAAATGTAAAAGGAAACCACCGGAATTACGATTGACCTTTCAGAAAATTCACTCCGTCGGAGGTAATAAACGCTAATTTTCCTTTCCATTTCATAAAGCGACCGCTGGCGGTGACCGTTTTCGGAAGTCAGGTTCATAGTGGCAGGTGGTGAAATGAGTGTGTTGCGCAGTGCTATGCAGATGTTTAGGAATTTAGAGCCCCGTTTCGAATTCAGGGCACGCATTCTCCATCACAGGATAGAAGACCAAACAGATACGTCTGCATGCTCCGAAGCCTCTTAAAATTTTAGTATCCGTCCCTCGTTGCATTCAAAATAGCTGAGGAAATTGTCACTGTCCAGTTTCATTTGCGATAATTAAATGGAACAGCAGTAACTTAACTAAATTGCCACATTATCCCGTTATTTTCATTATTTTCCCCTCCCGCAAAGTCTGACCGTGGCTGGGCATTTATCCGGCATAACACCCAATTCTTAGCTCGTACCGCTGTCCCATGCACCGAGTAGCCACTCACCGCCGTAATATTTGCTCTTCTCAATCTCCTCTGCGAAGAACTGCTCGATGCGCTCGGCAAAGTGTTTTTTGATGCACCAGATGATGCCGATGCCGACCATGACGACGGTGACGGTGATGAGACCCAGCCAGAAGGGCTCTTCGATCATCCGCTCGCTGAGCGGTTTGTACGGTATGTGCAGCACGCGGGTCTCGCAGTGGCGGCCTGGAGGCACAAGGGATGGCGAGACGGTTAGCTAGCACTGAGGATATAATTATACACCTTTTTGCACTCAAAATAGGCATCTTTTCATTCAATTTCGGCGAATTGCATTCAATTTTAGCGATCTCTCATTTGCTTTGAATAGAGAGATCGCTAAAATTGAATGCAATTCGCCGAAATTGAATGAAAAGATGCCTATTTTGAGTGCAAAAAGGTGTAGTTTGCAGGAACGCTCATACAGCATTCCTGACGGCAAAGTGACAATAAATTCTGATGTCAATCCAGGCATTCGAGTAATGATTCAACCTGGCCTTCTGTTGATAAACGTTATGAAATAACCCGTCGGAAAATGTATCTGGCTAATATCACGACTCTGCGCTAGGCATGTGTACAATGTTGATGATATGGAACACCAGTGAAGATGGAGTATTGATAGGCACATTCCCATCAGCGGCCAGCTGATTGGATGGGAAACAGTCCTCCGATATTCTCAGATGCTTGTTCTCATCGTCAGCATATGTCAGGGCAGGTACTCAACCAATATGTACATAACAAAAGAACAATCAAAACAAACCTTCTGGTCACAAAAAAACGCTCCCGCCAAATGTCAGCCGGCTCGAATATTGCGCACCGTTTTGCTCTTCATTATAGCGAGAGTTGACCGACAACACTGCAGTGTGGCTGTCAATATTGACCCACTTATCGGGCCAGTCGCCAATATTCAATAGCTCTCAGTCTGTCACCCCGCCCCTGCACCCCCCCCCCCCCCAGCGAGTAGCGGGGGGGGGGGGGTGAGGTCAGCCACCGTGGCCTCCTTCCGCCATTCAGAGCACGCAGCCCAGTATGCCGCCGGAGAAATCGAATCACATCACCGTCAGCCAGCGTCTGCAGGCGCGCCCCGTGAGATAATCGGACACGTGAATGGGGTGAATAGGTACTGAATATGCCATGAATATGAAAAGCGTGTTGACTTGTTGAAAATCATTAAAAAAAAAAATAGGTACTTATTGACCCTATCGCCTGCGCTTACGTCCGGATAAAATCATTATTTGAACGCAGCAAACTGAATCTGAAAGTTTCTCAAGAAAGAAATGAAATAGATCACCACATAACATAAAATAAATCAAAAAATTCTAATAAATTACGATCATGTTTCAATCCAAGGGCGGCAGCATTATGACATATCATGATCGATTCTTTGTATCAAGAAGAAGTTCAGACAAAGGATTGTCAGACGCTCCGAAATCCACTCTGAATTGCTCAACCCAGCCCACTCTTTGACTTGATCTAATCCGGACCTGGTTCCGTGCCCTGACATAGCCACACCTGTTTCCTGACCTTACCATACCCACCCCTCCCCACCCATGACCTGACCCGAACCCTCCATAACCTAGCACTGACCTGACCACCAGCCGTGACAGTGACAGACGAACGTATCGTTGGCCTCAGTGCACAGCCCGCGGCCGCGGCACGGGTTATCGTCGCAGGGCGAGCGGCGCTGTTCGCAGTGCAGGCCGTCGTGCAGTGGATCGCAGTGACACCGCACACCAGCGTCGGTGGCCTCGCACGTGCCGAACAGACATGGGGACAGTTCACAGGCCGGGATGTGGCAGAACAGGCCTGGAAAACGACAACACAGAATGTGACAGAAAGGGCCTCGAGGCTGGAACACGACACGGAACGTAACAGAAAAGGCTCGTTTGTACTGTAGTTAAGCATGTGGCAGTGGCTACATCTTTGGTACGAGTTCTTTATCACTATCTAAACGATATATCTACGATCGACATCATTCAATCAAACAGTGATCAATAAACGAACAAAGCAAATCACAAAGTACCCATAACTGCAGGTCTGTTTTGGCCAAGCAGTTCGAGATTCTCCCCTCATTTCACATTCGTTGATACGCTGCGCTGTGGCTGGCAGTCTCTCCTAATTCTGATCACGTACCGACAAACTGAGCTGGACAAACACAGGCGAAACTGGCTCCCCGCTTGGTGCATTTTCCGGAGTTAACACACGGATGGAGAGCACAATCTTCCACCGCGCCCCCTGCAGCGCTGCTTTTGTTGTTGAAGGCTCCGTCTGAAAAGGACCAAGTGTCACTGGAGAATTACAATGAAGTGGTGAGATCGAATCCTGGGTCCGGCAATCTATCTTTAAAATCAGAGCAGAGCTATCATTTCTGATGATAAGCACTCAGTCCTCTCCGGGTACGGACTCGTACCTACCACGCTCAGCCTCAGTACTCGATGGTACGGACCCGGTACTCACCGGGTACAGCCGAGTAGCTGACGGTCAGCTCCGGCGGCTCCGACACAGCAGCGGAGGGGGCCGGACGGCGGCGCTGGCGGCGGCGGCGACGAGCGGCCACTCCCCCTGCTCGGGTCACCGTCAGCACGTGCAGATAGGAGCGAATTGAGGCGGTGTGGCGCGCACCGGGGCCCGGGCACAGCCACCAGTCCACGCCGCCACCACCGCCACCACCCGGGGCGTACGCATCCCGGATATGCACGTATGTCTGAAATGCAGGTGTTATGCATTTGTTTAGTTATTAAAGCCTGTTTATGTTTGCACAGTATTGTAGCTCATACAGTGCTGTACATTGGCGCCATTCGTTGTCCGTTAATTGCTGCTCTGCATACCTACAAAGCAAGCGAAAGCACTCAGAGACACACCGCGCAGCAGGTCTCAGGGACACCGACCCACTTCAGGCTCCGGTCATCCGCATTCCGGCGGGACATCTGTGCCTATGACGTCACACCGTCCGTCCGACCGGCGACCGCCGTCTGCAGTTCGGACAATCGCTGTATATTCATGGGGTGGCGCCCTACTGGGCATCGGTGTTAGGTGGTATTCCAGGCTGACAGAATCCATTGGGCAACGGGTTTTTTAAGGAGGCAGAATTTGGACTCTGTCTCTGCTGTAAGGTCCATGGAAAATTGTTTATGCCCCGCTGAAGATAATGTTGTGTGTGTCAATGACGGCGACTATAGAATATAGATAGCACTGTAAAGTGTCGGATGGTGGCTAAAAGCGACAAACGAAGAACACAACTAAGCTCGCAAACCCTTGACGATATTGCACGGAATTAGCACTCGGCAGCGTACTCAGAATACCAGTATTACCTTGGTACCAAGAACATTTGAATAACCACGTGATAGGCCAGTCTCTGAAGATCCTGTAGTGGCTCTGCAGGTATCGCCGGTAGGTTTGCAACAAGGCATAGCTCCTGTCATTCTGATCGGGGTGCGTGTAATCGGGGAGTCCCGGCGTGAAGTGCGGAGAAAACAGCGTGACCAGCTCTATCGCGGAGGGAGGATTGCGCCACATGGTGGTCAGCCAGACACGTCGGCACGGCGCCAGGACGCTATCACTGTGCATACCACGCGGCGAACATCATCTTTTTAGCGATGTATCATAATGTGCTATGCCTATGATCACACCAAAGTTAGACCTTGTTCACGTCCTGCATAGTGCCGTCTGTTACATAGTACCCACAGGCTACAAAACACCCAGCCACAAGCTATGTGGCCTATGTGGGTACTATGTGTGTAGCCTCGCTATTGCACGAACATACAGAGTAGATATAGGCACACATTACACCTACATATGCCTATGAAATAGTAAGAAGATGTCCAAATGTCACCACACTTGCTGCTAGCTGTGCCATTAGGTACCGTTCCCAGAGTGGTTTTCATCGGTCGTGCTTCGCTGTGCAGGAGGCCTCCCGCCATTTGGACATTGCAGGTCACTAACCCCTCTGGCCTTACGCAGAACAGGTGAGTCGTGACACCGCGACGCCGGCCCTCCATCACCAGTCCGGCTTTCTGCATCGCCGGGACATCCCCGCGCGCGGCCCGGCGCGCCGCGCCGTCCATCTCCAGTGCCTATTTTCGCTGTGACGTCACGGCTGGTGGGAGGGCCGGCCCGTTGAAGGTGACCTGAGGCGGGAGGCCGCGCCGCTGCAGAGGCGCTGCGCCGTGGCTGGTGCGCAGTTTGCAGGTCACGGCGCGGCGCGAAGGTGGTGTTGCGGGCCAGGAGTGCTGCTGAGGTGGTTTTTGAGGCTCAGAGTGGTGAAGATAGATAACAGCTGATCATCTGACCATCTGATTCCGTACTGGAGGCTGGCCGACATTCGTCATCCATCGATCATCAAGCCTGCAACGTCTTCGGAAGGCCTACTGGAACTATCCAGCCAGGGAAGTGAGAGACAGCTACTACACTGGTCACAGGCTCTGACTGGACAGCCCTCGTATCTCGCTGCATCCAGAGGCTGAGAAGACGGTCACGAAGCTGGACGACAGGCCCAGGATTCCTTCCGGCGCAGACTCTGACATAATATGAGTGTCGGCTCACTCGTGTGTGTGCTGGCGATTGTCGCGGCAGTGGGAGCGCTCCCAGCGGCATCACCTACCCGGCCGACTGAGGAGCAGGCGGCGGATCTGACCGGCCCGGTCAGTGAATATCACGTCAACACGACTTACAGCGGAGCAGACGGCACTGCGCACAGCAAAGCGGATAACGCAACGAACAGCATAGAGCACAGCAAATCGGATAACGCGACGGACAGCATAGAGCACAGCAAATCGGATAACGCGACGGACAGCATAGAACACAGCGAAACGGACAGCGAAACGGACAGCGAAACGGACAGCGAAACGGACAGCGAAACGGACAGCAAAACGGACAGCAAAACGGACAGATTAGAGCACGGCGAAACGGACAGCGTAAATGAAAGCCCAAAAGAGAAACTATCTATTTATGATTTTGGATTACCTACCAATAATTACAATTTGGACGACGATGCCGATCCTCTGAAGGCTGAAATTTTCCGGTACCTTACGAATTCGGGGACATCGGACGTGAACTACCAGACTGACTACTACGCCACCACGCCACGCTATGACTACGATTGGACCACGGTCAGCTACACATATGTGACAGAAAGCACGTCCCAGATGATCGGCAAGAAGATTATATTTAAGATAGTCTGGGGAGTTGGCGCCACGATATTTGCTTTGGCAGTCGGCGCATGTGCGAAAGCCTCCAGAGCTAGAAAGAGGTCGATCGAGCGGGCGGCCCAGACGAGGCCGGCTGCCGGTCGGCTTGGAGCGGGTCAGCCCTCTGGAGGGTCCTCGGGAGATGGCGGCAACAAGCCGTCAGGTCAGGAGGGCATCGCTCTGGCCGAGCAGACTGACGGCAAAGTCCGGCCATTGGCCGTCACGGTATAAAGATCTGCGTTGGTCTAACGGACTACGTAAGTGATTGTGTGCGTCTGGAACGTTTCAGAGCATTTGGATGATTCTGTCGTTTTCATTCGATGGGCACCGGCCAACTTGCGAGCTGTGTCGTAGGTATTGGGCTGGGCCTTTTAGGCTAGCTCCCATTGTATGTTGTATTTAAATGTAGGCTACATACTTATTCACTGACTAAGTGAGTGTGCATGATCGCATTTGTAATGAACCGTCCATGATCGGTAGGCGTAAAAGGCGCATATCATGTGATGTCAAGATTTGCTTATGTTCCGATATTATTTACCTTGATACTCATTTAAACTTGGGAACAGTTAACGACACTTAGCAAAACAGGCCATCGCCGGGACTAAGCCTGAAGGGCTGCGGCTATAAGATGCCCATCACCCAATGATTGTAGAGTGACAAAGACACAGGTCACTGTACGTCAAGCCCATGCCGGGCTTTATTTTATCGTATGAGCAGAGGCCTTAGTAACGCTGGGTTTAGTGCCGACAAGCTATCTGTGAGCCTTGCTTGTAATCGGGTATAGCCAAGTGAATAGAACCTGGTGAGAGTGAAGAAGCGGCAAAACAATAACGCAAAGTCACTGTGAAGTAGCAAAGTCACTGTGTGAAATATTCAATACAAGGAGGGCGTGACGTATACAGTATTGTTAGCGAACGAAAGTCTTGAACTCATTTATACTTGGGTTGGCGTGGCGGTATATGTGAGACGTTTCCATGGGCAAAGCTGATGCAGAAAATCAAATTTTCGTCGACCATTTTTTTAACCTTATCATAAGTAATAATTCAAAGTGGATAAGCACTGCATTCTTTCGTAATTATTTACTTTATTTTGCCTTTTCCTTAGGTTCTAAGTAAAAGTAAACTGCAACATTCCAGCACTGCAATTTGACATTATCGCCTTTGAGTTTACATATCGAGATTGTTCACATCATTTAAAACCCTGACGTGAACATGTACGGAATAGCGTTTAACGGGTTGCCACTTGCTGCTAATATGGCAATGGGGCGAGAACCAAACACCAGGGGAGCTCAATTGACACGGATCTGCGCCCTGACTCCGGGCCACAGGTATAGTTCAGAATGTTAACCCGCGCCCCACTGGGGGGGGGGGGGGGCTATTCATAGCCACCCCTCCCGTTTTTCTGCAATAACTTCCAAACCACTTGACGTATCAACGCCAAACTTTCAGTACCTTCGGCTGCATCAATTTGACACCTTGTGTCAAAATTTGAACTTCGTAGCTACCATAAGTCGGCCGGACATGACGTCAGAGTGACGTCATGTTCGGCCGATTAAAACATTGAACCACGGCAATCGCTCCCAAGAGCTCAGTTTTTAAGCTAGATCCAATTTTTTTTGCATGAAAGGACTCAGAATTGACTGCGCTATCAAACTGCTATCTCGGATTTTCAAATTTTGACGAAAATTTAAACTTCAAAAGTTGATATTTTTGACCTGAAAGTGACCTGACCTAAGCTAAATTCGACTCAAAATGACCTCGAATGACACAGACGACATCAAATTCGAAATCTATGGCCTAAATGGACCATAAAACATGTGTCACGTGACCGACGCATGATATAATATTTCCGTGACCTGTGATGACCTGACCCTGACCTGAAAATCAAAGAACAAGTTTGGTACCCTCAAGGTATCTAGAACATCTGTTCACGAGTGTGTAAACCAAAAATGAGCCCGATCTGACTTGTAAGACGGCGGCCAGAGCCCAAAATGTGAACAAGCGGAAATGCTAATAATTTTTACTTTGACCTGACCTATGACGTCATCGGTGACCTCGAGGTCAATGAAATTAGGTTTCGCTCGACAGTTTTTCCAGGGCTATCAGACGCCGTTTGAATTTTGACGATCGGCCCAGTAATTTCGGAGTTAGGAGGGGGCTATGGAGAGCCCCCCCCCCCCCCAGTAGGGCGTGTTATACGCAGACCCCAGTGGGGCGCGGGTTAACGTCACGACCTTGAGACTTCAGCAATCAGTGTCTGCCGCCGCTGCCAGTGGATCACCTATTTTACAGAAGTAATTACTCTTGACGGTCCATAATAACACTGGGAAGTGGCAACTGAGTACTATCCACACCAGGCAGTAGGTCAGAACTTAAGAAAGTGTTTAAAGCGACAGCTTTCGTGCACTGGCGGGAAAGGGTATCGAACAAACATTGACTAACTTCGCTCGTTGGATGCACTGTTAGGAAGCGTGGTGCAATACTCCCTTCCTGTTATGACTTTTACATATTAATGATTCCACTTAAGCCGAAGCACTGCTTTCTGAGACATCTGATTGTTCATCACTTACGTGTAATTTCACAAATAGCTAGGTATTTGATTTACCATCGCTAACTTAACCCGCGCCCGGCTGGGGGTCCTGGATTTCCACGCCCTGCTGGGGGGGGGGGTGTTTGAACACCCCCCCTTCTAACTCGGCTCCTGGGCCACGTAGCGATACGCGGAAGGCGGCGTTCGAAAGAGCGTAAAAAATAATGACGAAATCACTTCGGTCAATTTTTTAGTCAGGTCAAAGGTCAGGTCACCAGAGGTCATTGAAGGCAAAATTTCGCCGATTTCCAGGTCGAATGTCGACAATTTCCAAGAAGCCAACGCATAACTCGGGAACAAATAGAGCTACAGCGCCGCGGAAAAGTGCATTCGATAGCCCTATTAACGCCCTTTCTGAGTAATTTTCTCAGATTTGACCTAACGTCAACGGTTTTGCCTGCAGGGGGCAAAAACTGCAAAAATAGCCGATTTTTTCGGAAACAGTTTTTCTGCAATAACTTTTGACCCAAGCCTTGTACGAACTTACTTTTACCGGCATCGTGTTCCTCTCGTCAAGACGCATCGAATGAACTATAACTTGACCTTGAAAGGTCAACTTGAAAATTTGACCTCAGGTCGAGGTCATGACCTGACCGGAAAGGGTCATGTTGCATATCAGTCGATCCGTATCGTCGAGCTGAACACATCTAAGGCGTTTTCATCGCTCTAGCATGCCTCTATCAAAAGTTATTTGCGAAAAACTGTTAGATACCATTGGGGAATATTTGTTTCTGGTCCCTAAAAAGCTGTTTCTGGCACCTAATTGCTGATCAGCCCCAAAATGCTTATTCGACCCTAATATCTGAATCTGGCACCTAATTGCTTCCACACAGCCTAAAGTTGCCAGATCGTCTAGTTGAACTCCGTATTTGCTGTTTGCTGATTCAGCACCAAAACCAAAACATCCAGCACCTATTTTATTCCACGTTTGCCTACCTAATTCGCGTAATCTTCCTGATTTTATGCATCCTAACAAACATGAACGTTGCATTCGGTGATGTCAAGTGCCATTTTCGCCAGTGGAGATAATGATTAATGCCATTTCTAGCCAAAAGAGAATCACTAGCCAGCTATGGTGCAGCATAGCAAGACGCTCCTATACCAGCCCGCTATGTAGAGATTATTGCACCCTCAGCCATTTTAACGTGAAAAGTTTGGATCCGTCACTTCCAGCCATGCTCTCAGGTCATAAACTGGAGTAAACTGGAGTAGGCCCTCTTTTCAATATTATTAGCTTTCTGCAATCATCGTCTGACTCCATCTAGATCAAACGCAGCATCCGGTTTCTACAGGGGCGTTTGACTGACCGGCCACACAATAACCAAAAACAAAATCAAGGCTTCATGCACACATAAGTACGAAACGGATGAAAAAGGCACAACCACGGCACAACTCTGCGCGGCAAACAACGGACAATGTCCCACGCAAGATCCCGCGTTTCTTCAGCGGCCTTGAACGGAATGAAAACATTACATTTCTTTTTTGGAGCTATTTGATGACGTCAAAAAATACAACACCCGTTTTAATGGTCAAAATCGAGACAATTACTCACAAAAATGTTTCCCTTTAAGCATTACCAATAAATACTTTTAAATATTTAAGTGACATTGTTTTTTCAAACAAATCAATATTATTTGCTTACTTAAACGTCATATACAATGCTGAGATCACTACGGGGCTGTCTTAGAGTGTAGTTGCACTGGCAACCTTTAGGCTAGACTCCAGGGGTCATTATACCAGAACAACATGATTCTACCAGCCAGTAGTTCATTTTTCTACTAGATTGGTGCTACGCTCAGCATTTAGGTGCCAGATTCAGAAAAAAGAGTAAGGCGTACCGATTAATAGGTGCCAGAAACAGCTAATTAAGGTCATTTTCCATGATTGGTGCTGGTGTCCACCAAATAGGTGCTGAGGACCAATTTTGGGGCGAGTCAGCTTTTAGGTGCCAGAAATAGCTTTTCTGGGACGCAATTAAATGGCGTCCGATACCATTCGTGACCTAAGATGACCTCAGGGCATAAACAGGGGTCACGGACACCATTTTCATGTTCAGTGTGTCTAAACCACTTGTAATTCAGTGTTTGGGAGTGTTTATAATGTCTTTCGTCCAAAAGAAGCGCATTTCAATTTTCTCCCATTGACTTATAATGGGGAGGTCGCAAAATTGACCTGACCTTAGGTCATCGATATCAAAATTCTGAGATATACATTTTGTACATGCTATTGCTCTTAGCAATCCCTGAAAGTTTCAAAGCGATCGGTCACTCGGTGTAGCTATGACAGACATTGAAACTTTTTATGAGGTGAGGTCACTTCAAGTGACCTGGTGACCTGACCTTGAATGACCTTGGTCTGAAATTTTCACAACATGTGTAGAATTGATGTATGATAAGGTGTACCAAAAACGGCGGCGCTCCGCGCCGCCGTTTTTGAGATATTCGCGAAAAACCACAAGGGGGGGTGTTCAAACACCCCCCCCCCCCAGCAGGGCGCGGGTTAAAATGGGTAGGCAAGTTTGATCGCGATGAGAGCAATTGTGTAACCTTTAAAATCGACAACTTTCCCACTATTTTTCCTAGGAAAATCTATCCATTTGATAGTTCCAGTCGCCATGTCCTTACACTTTGCTGGGTAGCCGGGAATGGGACAGCACGCCAACATGTGGCGCACCGAATTCTATTGTATAGGGGAATCAGAATCACGCAGCGAGAGCTATCCGATCCAGTTACGACCTCATCAACATGGTCTGGCTGTGATGACTTACCATAAATTCAGCCAAACTACACATTAAACTGGCCCAGCAGCATCGGAACCGGGTGGAACAGCAATGGCATCGGACTGTGCTTTTCAGCTGCCGAGCACGTTACATTCTTATCAATGTAATTACAATAATGAGTGAGCACTTACGCACATGATATAACACTGATGAGCGTGAATAAAGGATTGTATTGATTAAGATCGCTTCCGAGGCTTACAACAAAGCAATTCATGCATTGATACTAGTAGTGTTTGTCTGGTGGTCGGATGTGCCCGTGCTGACGGTGCAGGGCTTTTCGGCCAATGGATTATCCGTACTGAAGTCACCTCGATAGCGGTTCACCGTCGGACCGTTTTCGAGAGCTGCTGACCTAAACTGATCAACAGGCTTCGGCTCCCCCACTCCCACACGCAGTTTGGAGCTGGAGTGTGGCGCCTAAGACTGGTGCGATGCGTGATTTTGTCTTGGATGGATGCTACTGTTCGGGAAATGAACTGTCCTTAGAATTTTGCTATTTAAGGCATCCTCCTCTTCAAATAACATCTTCAAATGACATCCTTCTGTTTGAGTTCAACGGATAAAGTATCTTTGCGACATTAGTAATAATCACATATTTGCTTACAAAAGTGACTTGCATGTGACATACGCTAGTACCAATAAAAGGTTCAATTAAGTCGTGAGTAGGTACGAAATTAAATCGTGTAACTTTTTGGAGAGGTCTAAAACATAATAGCCATTTTCACGACGGGCTATCCGGCGAGTTCACCTAATTTGACCAAATCTGCACCTAATCTCTTTTACAGCAAATATCTTTATTTTATGGATTTATTTCAGTGTTTTAATCGAAGATACTCTCTGATAATATGACAAAGCAGGCATATAAGCAATTAGTGCAACCCTAGCTGACAGCTACTAAGAGACACACTGAACCTAATTTAACCAAATCTGCACCTAATCTGCACCAGATGTGCACCAAATGTGTACCAGATGGCCGTCGTGAGAACGGCTATTAGCTTAAGTATTGTCCTTAAGCAACTCGCCGTTACGTGACATTGCCTTCAGCTAATGCCCATCCAGCACGACACTATCCTAGTGGCCTAGTGCACAGTAATTGATTAATTCGCCATGCCCGCACCATTTTCACTCGTCCCGCCGTCGTTACGAAGCCCATTTTCACTCACCGTGCTATCGGCGCAGGGTGTGTCCTGCAGGGAGCCGATGAAGGTCAGCTTGAGCTGCACGTTGTGGCCGACGGGGGCGGCCAGTCGGTGGGCGACTCGGTAGGGCAGGGTACCGAGCAGCAGGGGCGGCTCGAGGACCCGGGCCCGCGGGGAGGCCGGCACGGAGACCGGCACCAGCTCGTCCACGGCCGACACTGCCGGACGGCAGTGGCACGTAGTGATATAGAGTGACATACAGTAGCAAACAGAAACGAATAATGACAGAGACAGGCACTGTAAGACGCTGCAAACACACCAAACATCAACTTACCAACTTATCGATTCTAAGAAGGCTCATTCGCTCCGCTCCATTGTCCGTCTATGCTCAGCTGTAACTGACCTACCTTGTAGTTCAGGGGCAGTGACTGACCTGCCCGGTAGCTCAGGGGAGCAGTGACTGACCTGCCCGGTAGTTCAGGGGAATCTGTAACTGACTTGCCCTGTAGTTCAGGGGATCTGTAACTGACCCGCCCGGTAGTTTAGGGGAGCAGTGACTGACCTGCCCTGTAGTTCAGGGGGGGCAGTGACTGACCTGCCCGGTAGCTCAGGGGAGCAGTAACTGACCTGCCCTGTAGTTCAGGGGAGCAGTTACTGACCTGCCCGGTAGTTCAGGGGAGCAGTGACTGACCTGCCCGGTAGCTCAGGCTGTACCCGGTGCCCATCTCCAGACTGCTGCCTGTGTTCAGCTGCAGACGAACGTAAGGACCGGGCGCCAGCAGCAGAATCTGCGCTCTCCGTCGGCCGCAGAGCCGGCGGAGGGCTATCGGAGCGTCCCCCGGCCGAGGCACAGAGCCCACCTCCAACCGGCCGTGCTCGCAGGAGAGGTCCAGTGAGGTCACCAGCAGCACTAGATGAGTGTCCCCTGTGGCCAGAGAATGCAGTCACAGGAAGTATTAATTCGGCCGAACTAGAGGCTTCACGTTTTTGAAATTAACACATAAATGCACACATTCACAACGTTACTCACATGGGACATGTTCCCGCAGCATGCATAATTACGGTGGCTTATTTTTATTCATACTAGCACCCATTCTACCAAGCCGAGCATACAGTTGCTCTCGTGGCATTTATTATTAGTCAAATGCGCCATGGTTCGGTCGGTTGTCGTCCGTCAGAAACATTATCGGACTGTCGCTCGAGGGACATCTAGAGGACGAGTTTCCTTGTGCCGCTTCCTTTAGTGATCCGCGCTAAGAACGCTGCCTTGCAGCGGAATCCAGAGGGAATTTAGGCGGCTTTGAGGCAGATCCTGGCGACGAGTCATCTGGGCGGTCCGCGAGGCGGCCGCGGGGCTCGTCGCTCTCGGCCATCCGTCAGACAGCCGTCGGCCTGGTGACGGACGGCAGACGGGACCACATTTAACGGAGCTACCGCCGCTCCGACCCGGGCGGCGGCCCAGACTCCGGCGCCGGCGTGGGCGAGCGAAATACCCGGCGCCCCATGTGGTCCAGGGACATGGCTTAATCCAATGTGTATACGGGAAGTGACACGGAAGGCGCATAGAAGTTACAAGGGTGAACAAATATATATGATGTTGTTGAAAATAGTGACAATTTGTAGCATGCTTATCAATTTTGATATGCTTTAAATATAGTACGTACCATTAGCACTTCCAATTAAAATAGAACTGATTCAGCCTGACGCAATTGCACACATTTGAGCTTCCGTGAAAGGACGATCCAACCATCCTACCTTTCTAGAGGACCCGCCACCCTCGTCGGAAGTTCATATTACTACCACTGAAATCGACCCACAGACCCCCGCAAACGGGACAGGTAGGAGCTCATTTGTGGTCTATCTCTGACGGCTAACACGCGGGCAAACATCAATGGCCACAGCTGAGACGGCTGCAGCCACCTGGGCGAACAATTATCAGCGAAATGGAACGGCACAAAGTCCCCGGTCCCATCGCTCTGATGAGTGGGAGATATAGGGAACAGGTCACGGGAACAGACGTGTTCAAACAGAGCCGCGACCGAAGCAATCAGCGAAGAGCGACACCTGACACGAGCTCTTCATCGAGTCCACAAGGGTACTTTGGGTCGGGCGCACTTCTCCCCGAGCACTTCTCCAAATGAGTGGCCTCTGGAGAGGTCTCTGAGCTCGTCTTAGGATAGTGGTGCGGTAAATACGTCCCTCTCACCTGGTGCCAGGAGGAAGGTGATGCACTCCTGATCAGTAGGCAGCAGGTGCGGGTAGCCCGGGCTGCTAACAGTGCCCTCTATGGACGACACGATCTCGCCGGTGCACCTGCTGACATCTACCGACGACCAGGAGAGGCTGGCGCCCGGTCCCGACACGGACCAATCAGATGTGAAGGTGACGGTGGCTGTGTTCGATGGCGGGAAGATGAGCCGTCTGTAACGGACAGAAAAGAGCAGCGGCGTCAGGGAGTGATCTTCATACGATGGTTTTGGAGGTGAGAAAATACAGAAATGAAGTGGGTATTGACTGGCATAATAAGGCGATTTATAAGTCAGTAGCACACCAACAGGTTATTCACAGACAATAGCAGCATACCATGTAGGTTATCAACGCTTATAACATTCAACATAAAAAAATAATAACCGTGCAATATATCCACATATGATCACATCGTCAGCATTCCATGGGCATTAGGCACTAATCGTTCCTCCCATTCCCTTTCAGAGCCGCGTAGCCCGCTGGCCTGGCAGGATAGATTGTTCCGCAGTACGCGATCTGGCAAGGTAGACTGTGCCGCAGGGCACGTTAGCCTTCGGCGTTGCAGTCTCCGGGGTTATCAGCCTCGAAGTGTTTTCAGACAGGAGAGAATGCATTTGTCCGTTGGGAGCATAGCTGAATTAGACGTTAGAAAAGAAGATAAAGTAAAGAAAAGATAGATAAATTCATAGATAACATGAAGAACGATTCAAGTTATCTATGATAAGGTGTTATTGTAGGTACATTGAAAGTAAACAATTTCTCAGGGAGGCCGATTATTTACAGCCAGTAATAGAGTTACGTCCATTTTATCATGGTGACGTCCTTTAGAGACGCTCTTTTCTATCAATGTTCGATTTTATTTCACTGCTTAACTTTGTTTTCAAGCATCACACCGGCCACCAATGATACCTATAAAGTCAGCCTCTAATGATATAAATTGTAGTAAGAGTCACCGACTTGCTATAATCAACATGCAGCGATCGCCAATATCGTATGCAAAGTGTCATTCGGTTGCAGAGTTGGTGCAGTTGATGTTGTGGCCACAAACTAACCTAAAACAAATGTCACCAAATGTGACTAGCACAATAAGTTGTGTTTTTACTAACCGTAAATGTCACCAGTGGCCTTTATCACTTTATAAACTAAGTATGTATGCAGAGCTGATACACTTCTAAAAGAGTGGTTACTGCACCATTAACAGGCATCAAACCTAAAACCACTGCCCAAAACACAACTTCTTGCTTACTTTCTTATTATACCTACTTTTAACGAAACAATAAGGTAGACGACATTTCTCAGCAAGCGAGGGGTCAGAATTTATCGGGAAGGTCATTTATATCGCTCGCAGCAATCCCGTTGAAGTTATTACTCTCGACATTTTGTTCAACTGATGAGAGTCAGCATAATAAATGCGCTCTAATGTTTGACTCCACATTGCTTCCAAAGCTGCAGCGGGATGGCCGGGCTGAGCCAGAACATACCGGCCCACTGCGTGCCGTTCCTGTCCGTCGTCAAGCACACCTGCGCGGTCTATACGTGTCTCTTCGGTGTCATTCATTCCTGAGAACCCATGGACGTGGACCCCCACCTCCCACTGCAGAGACCGTGCCCGTGGCGGCATGGACCACGTCTCCGCAATTGAGCTGAGCGGAGCCACGTGCACTGCCCTGCCGACCGACTGGGGGCCGTCCAATGAGTTATTCAGTCTCCCTGCGGCGGCGTACGTCAGCCGGAGGCGAAAACAGCCGGCCGCGCCGATGGATGGGTGAAGGCGGCCGGGCGGCAGCTCTGCGCCGAGCGGCGGCCGGAGAGCGCGGTCGGTCTCCCCCCCCCCCCCCCGCCGGCCGTCAGCCCCGGTCATTTCTCCGCCTCTGCCTCCGACAGCACCGGCACCGGCCGCCTCACGCCGTCCCGTTTTCGTCGCCGACCCACTCGAGTGTCAGCTGACGGAGATGGTCTTTTCAGTAGGTACCTGCTTCCAACAGAGAATAGCAAACAGCCGGAGTTCATCGCCATATAGCCAGGGTTATACACCAAGAATTATTATACACCAAGATTGATAAAATATTTACAAAGAGGATATATTTCGGGATGAAGAAGGTCGGACGGACCATAGCGCCTGGTACCGGGGCGGACTACGAATTTAACAGACACATGGACAACCTCTTTGAAAATATTATGAAAAAAGCATTTCCAAAAAAATATTCACAAATACTGACAACGGAGTGAAATAGCTTGAGCTGAAAAGACACAATAACATACGTAATATGTTAAATGTCTCCACTTGCACTGTTTGTGTCCTTATTAACATGACCTTGGTCATCTGACTCGATTAATGTGTGTATGTTTAAGCAGTTGGAATTCGTCGCCTTCGTCGCATATGCCTTGCTTTATATAGCGTTCTGAAACGACAAAGCCTATGGCGAACAATCCGACAGGGCTGGCGAACGCCCACGAGATGAGAAACAGAGCGAGTTTATTACAATGTCGAACATAACTCTGTTTGAGACCAGGTTCCAAGCGGCGAAGAAAGTTGTATGAACATAAAATTCAGTTTAACAAAAGCCCTGCGATATAAAATAATCGAGATCTTGAGGCCATGTTACGCAACATGAAGCTGACCACAAATCAACTACTACATTAAGTGATGATATATGTAGTGGAACCTGTAAATACATATATAGCGGAACCTGTAACAAATATCACCAGTGGCCTTATCACTTTCTAAACTAAGTATGCGGAGCTGATACACTTCTAAAAGAGTGGTTACTGCAGCATTCACAAGCATCAAACCTAAAACCGTTGCTTAAAACACACTTAATTGCTTCCTTCCTTGCCATACTTTTAGCTGAAACAATAAGGTAGACGACACTTCTCAGCAAGCGAGGGGTCAGAATTGATCGGGAAGGTCATTTCGTCCCTATATCGCTCGCAGCAATCCTGTTGAAGTTGAATTTTATGTGAGCTGAGACTAGGAAATCTACATAACGGCTGCCTCCAACGATGTAACTGGGTTTCATTAAAATCTCAGCCCTCGTATTGTGGCAAACAATGATCAATAAAACAAGCTGCTATTCGTAGATCAACAGATGAACTGCCCATAAAACGCAGAGAAACGACGTGCCAGGAAGTAAACTATTCGCAACGGAGCAGGCTTTCAAAGGTATATTGCCTGCCGTATCCTAACGAAAACACGTTTCCGGGAGATAAAATGAATCAAACAGCCGGTTCGTGTAAGCTCAGCGAGGATGATCATTTCTCTGACCAGTGAGTCATCAAATTAAAACAACCAAACCATCCGGCGCTTTTCAGTGCACTCCACTGGCCCCCAGGAGCTTGCTCATGGTTCTTATTGAGATTAGACTGCAAGTCATTCGAGACCAGGAGATCTACATGGCGCCCATATTGAATAATCACCATATTGACTAACTAACGCGCACACAAACACACATCAACCCACCCCCACCGTGGTGTGCGCACACAGGACCGGGTGAGGGGCCCGGGAGGGGTGGGGAGGGGGTGATCGTCGGCGCGTGCTGTCGCGGCCTGTTACGGCCGTGGACGGTGGCCGGTGGCGGGCGCCGTCATTTATCACCCCCACCCTCCCACACAAAGGTCGTTAACCAGCCGTGCGCTGTGTTATACCTGCGATAGCGCCAGGAAACGACCGGTTGCCGTAATAAGTGTTAGGGGCATAATGTTCTGACTGCATAGAATGGCCGAGAGCTTACTAACTCTCACTGCTCATCGTTGGAACACAGTTAGACACATATTTTATGAAACATTAGTTTATTTAAAAAATAGCTTCTTAGCTACGATGTACCTATTGACAGTAGTGTTTCAAACCTTCATTCACACACTGTATGTATAAAGCTAAAAGTCGACGAAGCAATGATATGCTTCCTCATAGGAACAGATCGGTGCACTGATTGGACAAATTTTACACTTGAATAGTCACTAAGTTATTTTCTAATTATGTTCAAAAAGAAACATCAGCCACATATTTTATCTACATCATTTTGCAGCTCGTTCTTGATATCAGCCGATGTTGCACTTGCATTTCGCATTAAACGTCATCATTTGTGTTGATCAACCATTCACTTTTTCCATTCACCGAAAAACGGCAACGCGACAGCCGTCATCACTCAGATGATTACAGAAACAGAAGGTACGAAGCTAATGGGGCGATGGGGAAGCCAACGCGAGCTTAGGTTCGTCTTACATCGTTATCGTATACGGTCCCAGCTGCGTATCCCGGTAATCAGCCCGCTGTACCAGCCGTATCAACGCAGTCATTTGGCCTGGATTACCGGGTGACGGGTGGTAGTCGTAATGCACCCAGCGGCTGATGGCCGAGCCGCGCCGTCTTTCAGGCCGTAAAAGTGAGAGTCGTTAGTCAAGAGAGGCTGTGTAGCGTGTAGATACTTTTTGGGTTGTATTGTATCAGACCTCTACATACCTCTACATACGTAGAGGTCAATGATTATATTGATCAAATGATTACCTGCAGCAAGTTTCACTTCTTATATACCACCTCCAAAAATACCATCTTTTTGCGAATATTTTGCTTTTTAGAGTGAAAAAGCTTGTGGACTTAGACCCAAGAAGGATTACGAAGTTGAAAGATCCCGTACCTGAGAGAAACTTTGTCGATTATAGCACAAGTCTAGCTCACATTCTCAATCATTAAAACTTCCAACACTCTCTGAGCAGAAACGTGCTTTCACCAACAACTCTGTTCGTATCTTAGAATTGCAGAATAAGCAAAAAAAAAAAGCATTCGAACAATTTGCTGGTAAGGGATATGATAAAAAAATTGACCCCATTTCAACACCAGTGAGCCTGGTGATTGAAACAAGTATGAGAAATGGGCGTTAGCATCGCAAGAATTTTGACAGTTTGGTGGGCTTGGTCCCGCATATACATATGTTGCTAAGTGGGGGACGTTAAGAATCATCTCCTTCAATGCGCTTGTTAGTGCCGTTGAGCTGCTGCGATATATTTGGAAACCGGATTTGCTTTCTGAGAACCGCAAATTTACAATCATGTGCCCCAGAGACTTTAATACTATTGAAGCCATTCTCAGAATCAGCCCCTTCGGTTCCACGACTTCTGGAATCGATTTAAACTGCCGGATAGCAGCCGCGACTGCGGAGTAGCCGCCGCTGTCCCTCAGCTGGTCAGTTTCAGACCGTATAGGCCGAGACCCGACCCCCTCCCAGTGTTGTCAATCAGTCTCTCTCACCTCTCGTGGTGCCGACCACACAGCGTCGCCCGGCCGTCGGGCGGCCAGCTGATCTGCAGTGAGTCGTGCAGACAGTCCGGCTGCACATCCAGCTGCAGTCGTTCCACGCGCACGGCCAGCCGGCTGCCGGCGGGGGCTCGCAGCTCCGTACGCAGGTCTAGCAGCGGAGGGTAGCCGGCGGGGTAGCCGGGTGAACGCAGCCGACCCGGCGAGGGCAACTCGGCCGGCCACCGCCACGGGTCACCTGGGAAGGGACGGAGGGTCAGAGGTCACCTGCGGGAGATACGGATGATCAGAGGTCACCTGGGAGACACGGCGGGTCAAGGGTAGTGATGTCAATTACGGAAAATCGGAATACCGATACCAAACCAAATACCAACCAAAACCAAACCAAGTTTGGAAAATGAGGTGTGACGTGCTTCTCAGAATCGATGGTACCACCTTTCTCCGAAATTCCGAGGACGGAATTTTTCCCAGGTTGTTTCTGATGTGACACTCCGTACTTTCTTTCGATATCGATGTTATCACCTTTTTTTTCGAAATTCCGTCCTCGGAAAGTTTATGTCTGTGTGCATTCACGTGTGTATGATGCGGATTGTGCATGTCAAATATGTCGTGCTCCCACTGCCCTCCCTACTCCCTCCTCCTGAAATTAGCACGTAACATACAATATAACCCACTGACGAAACTAGACTATGATGGCGAATGAGGGGCTATAACGAAAGGGAGATGATCGAAGCAATGGGTTGACGAGGTCGGGTAGATGATAGAGTAGAACGGGGTTCGGAAATTGTGGTCTATAATTGGGTAGCAAGGCTAACAAATGATATATCTCGGTCAAATATCAAGGGGAGTGGGTCGATTTGAGCGTTGAGGATCTGGGGGTTGTCCTTTTATTACTTTGCTATTAACCTGCCGTCATTAGCTCATATTAACGCTTGGATGACGTCAACTGACAATACCAGATAATTTCAGTAATCAATATCTTGTTTAAAAAAAAAAAAATCTTCAGTGCTCAGCATGCCATTTGACGGTAGTTCTCCTGTATGCAGTCGCAATTATCCGGATAGTTGTTACTTGCTAGTAGGTCTCAGTTCGCTTATTCATCAATTACAGCTCAAGGAGGTCCAAAATGAAACACCTTTCACGCATTCAATGTTTTGCGGCTGAACGTTTTGCATTCTATTTCATATAATGCGGCATGGTTAAGTGCGGAGTACGTTGGGTTCCAACCTTACTATAATTCTCGGTAAAGGCACGTTTTCTAGATGAAACCCAGGCATGGAAAACGCATGATCAGGAACAGATATAGTGTCTAGTTTTATTACTAGTTAACTTCCCCTTAAAACGTAAAGCGACGCCCGCTTTAATTTTGTGATGAATGCTACATTTCGGTACAGTGGCTCTCAGCAGTGAAATTGATGCCAAAGGGGCATTACGTAGAAGTCAATTTATTCTATTGTCAACCTGTTCTGTTGTCTTTGTTGAAGAACGCTCTTATAATCGTCATTCAGTGTGACTGGTAGATTTGGTTAATTACGTCAATATAACTTTGCCTAATTCAGAAAATTCCAGACGCGCCGTTCACCCTATTAGTGGCAGCCGCTTAGTTTCGGGGACGCCGTATCATTATCATTTAGTAATGTCCTATACTTGCTGAAGGACCACTCACCTAATTGACATTCAGTGCGTCTGGCATATTTGGTAAACTACGTCAATATCACTCCGCCAAACTCAACTGAATTCCAGGCGCGCCGGTTCGCCTATTTAGCGTCAGCCATTTAGTAGGGGACGCCGCATCGTTATCATTTATGTAAATTGTTAGTGCAGCAGATAACCGAACGATTTTGGGACCAAGTCAATAAGATAAACAATCATTGTCAGTTGGCTCCATTCCTCTATTCAGCGACTAATTTACGGGACAACAATTGTAGTGGTTAAGAGATACATATACGGCCTGGCGTTACACCAGCCGCCCTTACCAGGAAAATAGTCCAGTCGTTACCATTATATCGAATGGGGTAGATTATTACTACTAATTGTCATTATTGGCATCATGCCCCGCACCAGTGAGAGCTGCGACGAGTCCACTTCTAGGACACATGCAATAGTGTATGACGCCTATTTACTGTAAAGTTTCTACAGCACCAGCCCAGATCTCCCGACTGCTCTGTGAGCGCTGGGTTTACTGCCCCCATAAATGAGACAGCGACGGCTGGCCATGCGTGGCCGTAATTACCTCTCCATGGAAGCGAGCTGAAGCGTGTTGGTACGGTATACACAATCGACTGGATTACACTTTTTCAATTGTCGGGGAATGAGAAATAAGTGCTGTCCTCCCTGTCCCGGTCAAGGTAGTGCGATTGTACTTAAGGCAGTGTTGGTCGTTGCATGGAGATACCACCTGCATGCCTCCACACATTTTCGAATGGTTGGAGACGTGCCATTGGCTGGCTGAAGGTCAGATCCAGTTTGGGGGCCCGTACTGTCGTGAGCCGGCAGTGAAACGGGCAGGCGTCGTTGTTCGATTGCCTGTGCTGCCGCTGGTGAGAAGCGGCGGTGCAGGGTGCGTGCCTGATTAGCTAACCCGGATGTAGGGTGATGCATCACGCTGACGCCGTTGATAGATATCCGGGTGAAGTCCGCTGTGGTATTCCGGACGGTCCCGATGTTGTTTTCCGGGTGTAGTCTGCTGTGGTATTCCAGACGTACCCCGTTATGTTGCCGGGTTAAGTCCGCTGTGGTATTCCGGACAGTCCCGATGTGGTTTTCCGGGAGTAGTCTGCTGTGGTATTCCAGACGTACCCCGTTATGTTGCCGGGTTAAGTCCGCTGTGGTATTCCGGACAGTCCCGATGTGGTTTTCCGGGTGTAGTCTGCTGTGGTATTCCAGACGTACCCCGTTATGTTGCCGGGTTAAGTCCGCTGTGGTATTCCGGACAGTCCCGATGTGGTTTTCCGGGTGTAGTCTGCTGTGGTATTCCAGACGTACCCCGTTATGTTGCCGGGTCAAGTCCGCTGTGGTATTCCGGACAGTCCCGATGTGGTTTTCTGGGTGTAGTCTGCTGTGGTATTCCAGACGTTCCCCGTTATGTTGCTGGGTTAAGTCCGCTGTGGTATTCCGGACAGTCCCGATGTGGTTTTCCGGGTGTAGTCTGCTGTGGTATTCCAGACGTACCCCGTTACGGATTCCGGGAGTAGTCCGCTGTGGTTTTCCGGACGTACCCCGAGGTGGTTAGAGTTCCGTGAGTCTAAGGAATCACGACAAAAGGGTATCTCATGTAACGGGGCTACATGGTGGTGCCATGATTAGCCGCTTGGAGGGGGCTACTAATTTCTGGGATCCACTTCCGAAGTATGGTTGTCGTGCGAATGTGATTATTACTAGCTCGTTCCGGAAGCTCCTAATTGCCCTCAGAGTAGGCCGACTCTGTGGTCAATTTCGGCTATAGGTTGCTTCCAGGATGACCTGGATAATGAACGGGAGGTGAATGCATGTAATAATGTCAGTTGCGGAAGCCCAGAGATAATGATGCTAGCTGCCCACCCCGACCATTTAACACTTGCCAAAAAGTCAGATGAACTACTCTTGATCGATATTGTTTGTGACCGCTCTGAGTGGGCCTGTATTGCCCGGGCGTGTCCACCAGTCGCACAGCATCACCAGCTGCTCGTTTATGACGCTGAACAGTGAAATCGATACTCAACCCCAGAGAGAATAGCACGGCTCTCAGTACGGCCGACCGACAATGCGCAGGTGCCACTGCACTCATCGCTTGGTAACAATCCAAATCGGTAATCGTTTTACAACCGCGCCGAGCCGCGCGCGCCGGCAGGACCGGCGAGGCGTCATTTTATTGTGACTATTGTCTCGTTCCACCCAGTACAGAATTGACAAGTGTCACCACCACGTACTTGACTGATACAACTTTGGCTCGTAACGAAACGAATTAGTAACTTGCTTTTAGCCTGTTCTCTCCGCGCGTCTAACAAAGTCTCGTCAGGTCACCCGGGCCGACAAGTTTTACAAGTAAGACAGTAGTACTGAGCAGGTGCGGCCGGGATCATTCGGCGTGTCCGCTAGCCGTTTTATGGCATGAACGCCGAATCGATAGTTGTCGAAACTAAACAGCCTCCTCTCTCTCTCTCCCTCTCTCTCTCTCTCTCTCTCCCTCTCTCCCACTCTCTCTCTTCTCTTCTCTCTCTCTCTCTCTCTCTCTCTCTCTCTCTCTCTCTCTCTCTCTCTCTCTCTCTCTCTCTCTCTCTCTCTCTCTCTCTCACTCACTCACTCACTCTTATTCTTTCTCTTTCACTCTTCCTCTCCCTCCCTCTGTCTTCATAGTTCCGTAACGTGCTTGTAGCGGAACAGTACATGAGGCTATTGAGTTTTCCTGGCATTATTGGTGCACTTTGTTTGGTTTAATTTACCTATGATGCGTAGGCACTGAACGTTTACCGAGATACGAGAGTGCAAATTGGCACAATTCAGACTTTAACAAAATTAGTCAGTCACGACAGCTTGTTGCTTTTATGCATTTTGGGCTTTGGGAATCTAAACTGCTTAATGATCTGCCGACAAACTGACGGGCGAGCGTGAGAGGCGTTACGCGGCGACGATGATGTTGAACAAAGAAAACAGGAAGACTAGTTGAGAGCATTACGACCAGAACCAAAGGAAACAGGAAGAAAATCACGGTACCACGACAAAAATCAACATCGCATCATCACATCGAAATATCAATACATTAATCGGAAACGCCGCGTAACATAATGGTGGCCAGTATGGGGGGGATGAAGAAAAGAAGCGGCATGATCAAGCAAGTTGAAGATTCCCATCGCCGCTCCAAGCGTCGTGCCGAACCCCATTTTGAAGAAAGCGAATGGTGATGAAGAGGACCGATACGAAGAAGATGAATGACGATGAAGAGGACAATTTGAAGGAGATGAACGATGATTAGGACCAATGTGAAGATGAAAGATGATTATGCAGAGGATCAAGATGAAGAAGACGATTGTTGGTGATGAGATGAGGACCAATATGAAGAAGATGATGAATGATGATGAAGAGAAGAAGACGTATCAGATCGAGGTGCAAGCGGTTACCTGAGACCCGCTACGAGGTGAATTTAAATGCGTCTACAATGCCATGCAGGTCACTTCGACACTACGATTTCGGAAAGCTCAGCTGTCCCCTAGATGCCAGACAAATACTTTATGGCTACTTCCTTGAACTGTTGTGGTTGCA